GCGGCAGAGCCGTTCTGCAGCGGGTAGAGCACGAAGGGCGCGTTGTCGTTGGCGTCCAGCACCAGCACGCGCACCAGCGCCTGGCTGCTGAGCGCGGGCGAGCCGCGGTCTGCCGCGCGCACGCCGAACTCGAAGGCGCGCAGGGCCTCGTAGTCCAGCGACCTGAGCGCGAACAGCTGGCCGTTGTCGGCGTTGATGGACACCAGCGAGGCCAGGGCCAGCTGCGGGTCGTGGGGCGGCAGCAGCGAGTAGGTGACCTGGGCGTTGGTGCCCGCGTCTGCGTCTGTGGCGCTGATGGTTCCGATGTGCAGGGCGGGGCTGTTGTTCTCGCGGACCAGCAGGGTGTAGGAGGCCTGGGTGAAGGCGGGGGCGTTGTCGTTGACGTCGGAGACCAGCACTGTTATGCTGTGCTCTGTGGTCAGCCTGGGTGTCCCCATGTCGGTGACGGTGATGGTGATGTTGTACTCGGCTTGGCTCTCTCTGTCCAGTGGTCTCTCTGTCACTAAGGTGTAGAAGTTCTCCTCAGAAGATCTCAGGAAGAAGGGTAAATCATCCGGGATGGAGCAGCTTACTTTCCCATTGTGTTCTGAATCAAGATCCGAAACACTGAAAACTACAACCACAATCTCAGCCGCGTTCTCGGGGATTGGACTAGTAAATGCAGACACTGTAATTTCTGGGGCATGGTCGTTCACGTCTGTGATTCGAGTCAGAACAGTACATTTTCCAGAAAGGCTTCCAGCATCCTTTGCTTCGATATTGACTTCATAGGACTGAATTGCTTCGAAATCAACTTGTTTTTTCAGTCGAATTTCTCCTGTCAAAGAATTGATCTCGAAGGTCTTGCTAATCTCATCTGAAGCCTGGAAAAGTGAATAGGTTATCTCTCCGTTGGCTCCTATGTCCGCATCTGTAGCAGAGACCGTTACCACCAGGAAGCCGATGGGACTGTCTTCGGGGATCTGCACTCTATAGAAAGGCTGTTCAAATTCAGGGGCATTATCATTGACATCCACCACTTCGATGTAGACCTGAGTGCTTCCAGACCTGGGCGGAGAGCCGCCATCCCGGGCTGTGAGGGTTAACCTGAGTTCAGGTTCTGCCTCGCGATCCAGCGCCTTGTCTAGCACCAGCTCAGGATATTTCTTGCCATCGCTGCGATTGCGGGTGAGGACCCGAAAATAGGAGCTGGGGCTGATTATATAGTTCTCGATATTATTTTCCCCTACATCCATGTCCTGAGCGTTCTTCAGAGGAAACAAAGTCCCAGGAGGACTGCTCTCTGATATTTTCAACAGCATTTCTTTATCCAGGAACACCGGAGAGTGGTCGTTTATGTCTATTATTTGGAGCTCAGCTTGAAAAAATTCTAAGGGACTCTCTAGCAACACTTGGAAACGAAACACACAGGGCTCGGTGTGACCACACAGTTCCTCTCGGTCCAGTTTCTCATTGAGCAACAAATCCCCGGTCTCAGAATCTAGCTGCAAACGTAGCTTGTTCCCTTTGGAAATGACCCTCACCCCCCGCCTGGAGAGTTCCCCCTGCCCCAGACCCAAGTCCTTTGCTAAATTGGTTACAAAGGAGCTGCCCTCAGTTTCCTCCACCACAGAGTAGCGCTTAAGTTCCGACGCGCCCCCTGGAGATAAGCACAAAAGGAAAAAGAGAAAAAAGACTTGCCTTTGTCTGCAAATGAGCTTCCCGCTGACCTCCATTGTTTTTATTCGGTGCAGCCTCTGGCGAGCACGGTTCTGCTAACCTGTACGGGCCCCCAGTATCTGAGTCTGTGGCTATTCCACAAGATATCTCTGAAGCATTCCAGTGACTAGTCCTTCCCAAAGGACACAGCCCTCCTTTCTGTGGCACCCAAACTGCCGGTGGACTTCCAAGGCTGTGCTGCTAAGTCCTGCCGGGTAATGGAGCCGCAGCGGAGACCGGTTGTGCGTTCTTATCCTGCAGCGCCACCACGCGTCCTCCCAGGAGCTTACAGTTTGTGGGATGAAAAGGGATGCAATTCTGCTGCTCCAGACCTCTGGGCTATGTAAGGCTACAAAAATATTAAGACTGGATCTTTTGCGACAGACTACTGCATGAAGGTCACACAAGAGAAATGACATTGGTAGGGACTCTTTCAATCATGCAAATTGAGTTTGTGGCAAAAGGAAATATTTAGGTAATAGTCTGGCTGTCAAGAAAAAAATATATGCAGGACATTTAAAAAATGTATAATTATAGTAACAGAAAACTTTCAGAATTATATACTTTCATTGCCATGAACCATGGAAATTATTAATAGCTATAAACCTTGTACAAACTGTTTAGTCTCTGCTTTAGTTTCCTCATCTGTAAAGCAGGGTTAATAATAGTACCTACCATGCACGGCTGTTGTGAATTCCCCACCTTACAGAACCGGAAACTGAAGTAAGAGATCAACAGCATAAATAAAGTGTGTGTGTGTTTCATGAAATGGAGTACAAGGTTATTTTTGGTGTAAAACGATTTTTAAATCTATGCAGTTTTTTCCCCATAACACACATTTCCCATGAAGTTTTTGAAATAAATATATTCGATGTCACTAGGTATCTGAGTTTGCATGAATCCATCACCATGACTAAAAATACAACTTCAAATTTATATGAGAAAAATACATGAGCAGGGCTATCCCAGATATTACCATGTCACATGATGGTGACTGAACAAGGAAAAGCTGGAGAGTTTGTCTAAACAGACATGTAGTCGTTTGTGGCAGCAGTGGTGCTTCTGTATCTCAGAGGGATGTCTCTTTTATGCTACCTCCACTTCTCACATCAATTTTTCAAACACCTTTTATTTGTAAAATTTTCAAACCCCATAAAAGGATAATACTATGAACCCCCACGTATGCAACACTAGCATCAACAGTTGTCAGTATTTGAAATAATTATTTATTCTATCCCTCCAACATTTGCATATCCCAGGCAAACTGAATTTTTGCCCACAAATGTTTTATTAATGTCATTTAATATTCATCAACATTCACATTTCTCCAATTTTTTCAAAGTTATTATTGTTGCTTAGATGAAGACCCAAACAAGATCTGCCACACATTACATTTAGTTAGTAAATCTCTTAAATTCCTTCATTGTATAAACCTCCCTGTCCCATTTTCCATGCCATTTCTTTGTTGGAGAAACTGGTCATTTTATCCTGAGACTATGGAAACAATTCAAGATTTTACTGCTCTAAGTTTGTCTTTAGACTATATTCTATTCCATTGAAAGTCACTGGCACTAGTTTATAATATTTTCACAACACAGTTATGCAGAAATTACGTAGGTTAAAACATTTTTTAAAGAATTATTTTACTTAACTTTATTTATTTATTTTTAGTTTGACCAGAGAGTGACAGGGAGAGAGACCGTGAGAAAGCAAGGCACCACGGCTGGGACTTGAACCGTGGTTGGCCATGTGGAAGTCCTGAGCAGTTAACCACCATGCCACCTGTAAGCCCCTCCTAGGTTTTTGTTTTTAAGCAATTATATTATTATAACAAACAAACCTTCTCCTTAGCTTCCCAAAATTTCTAAGTAATTCAATGAACATTTATGTTTTTTGTTGACATTAACATTTTAAATTATTCTTTCACTTAAACTTTTTTAAAAAAAAAAAACATTTTTGCCATAGGGCATCTGTGCTCAGCAGAGAAAGGGAAAATGACAAGTCATCCCTGCACACCTGGGGAATGGCCATGCCTCAATCCTTTTTCTTTCCTTCTCCTCCTGGGATTTGGGGACATTCTCCTGGGATTTTAAACTGTGTCTGGCCATGGGAGAGTCCAGTATTTTAACCACCACACCACCTGCTGGCCCCCTCTTAAACTTCTGATTCAGCACTGTAGTATATTGAGTAGAAAACTTTCCAAAATAAACTTTCAGATTAAATAAGAAAATTGTATTGCAAGGGTCAGGCGGTGGCCCCATGGTAATGAAGCATGGGAAAGGTTAGGAGGCTCCTGGGATTCCATCTGGAACCTGCCTGAGCATGCAGGGCTAGAAGCGAGGGCTCAGGAACCTGGGTTGGCTAAGACTGGAGATGGCCACAGCATGAAGACCCTGTTGAGGGTCTCTCTGTCTCTCTCACGAGTGAAATAATCTTTTCTAAAAGAAAAGAAAAATGTATCACAAGTATAGATAGGGATAACTGTATAGAATGCACTGCAAAGTGAGAAAAAGAATGAACTGGTGAATAAAAATTATGTAATATTCTTTTTCAGGACCATTACTCTTTTCAGGGAAATGAATGTCATATATTTAGGAAATGGCGAAATTACAAGTTGGTCTTTAAAGTAAAATTTTTTTGGCGTAAGATGTGGTTATATCAGAGGTATAATAAAAGATGAAGGGGCCAGCAGTTGGCATAGTATTTGTGCACTGGACTCCCGCATGGCCCACTGCAGTTCGAGTCCTGGACCCAAATGGCCTGAAAAATCATCAGCTGCATGTGCATGTGTGTGTGTGCCCAAAATCCTAGGAGAAGGGAGAAGAAGTTAACTGCAGTGTGGCCATCCCCCTCTGGAAGGGTAATTTCTCATTTTCCTTCTCACTGTCTCTATTTCTCTCTGGCGAGAGCACTATGGCAAAAACATTTAAAAAAATAGTAGTTGAATACTTCATCCAGAACAACTGGCTTATTGGTTTTAAGAAAACAAAACTACAGAACAATACATACATTATTATTTCTAATTATAAAAAAGACAGAATGGAGAACCAGACTCCTACATAGCCAACCTCTGTCAGAGTCTTGACCAATAGTTTCAAATTTACACCAGCTGCCTGTGCATGCATGTGTCCAAAATCCCAAGAGTAGAATAGAGGAGAAGGGATTGCTGCGTGACCATCCCCCTCCCCCCCAGGGTGATTTCTCACTTTCTGACTCTGTCTTTCTCGGCCAGTGCAGGCACCCTTAAGCAAAAATCTCTCAAAGAAAAAGAAGACACAGAATGGGTGAATGAATACTAGAGGAGAAGAAACTTGATAGGTAATGCCGGATGACAGAAACCAGCGTAGCATCAGAACAATTTCCCTGACCCAGAGTCAGACAGATCTCAGGGAATGTTCAACTCTCACCTTTTACTTGGTGGTCTTAGTGAACTTATTGAATCTTTATGACTCTCTATTGGATCATTACTAAAATCCCTGCACCAACACTGCTGAGATTAAAAGTGTTAAAATAGTGTATGATGCATAGCAAGTACTTTGTTAAAATACTTAAAAAGATACCCTACAACCTGTGTTTTTCAAATTTAGGGTTGCTATGCAGGTACAGCATTATAATCAACACAGAAAATGAAACCAGCAATAAAGATTGAAGACAAGAAAAAGCTCTTTAAACATTGCAGGCAAGGTTTATCATGCAATAATAACACAGTAAGCGTGACTGCTGCAGGTGACCCATGACGCATAGACATTTCATGCTTTGTGGACGGTCCTTGCAGCTACACAGCTAAGTCCTGTACTTTTTGTGTAAAGAAATTTATTCTCTGCCTTTAAGACTATTTAAAATAATTAAAAGAACATCCTCTACAACTGTTTCAAGAAAAAATTCTAATTAGGAATATATCTACACATACAGAGATTTTTCATTATTTATCAGAAACCCAAATTATTCTCAAATGATGAATTTTCTTCTACCTCCCTCCGGATGTTCTGGGGTATGAAGCTGGGGATAATTGGTTTCAGAAACTTGAACTCCTTGGTGGTTCCTGAGCCTCCAGTCAGACACACCTCATACTGGTAACTGTGTGACAGGGTCCCAGTGCCGCTGACGTCCAGCAGGTGGCCCGGGAAGGGGCCCTCGGGCACCGAGCAGCCCCCCAGCGAGGCCGCCCTGGCCCTCCTGCACAGCCGCGCCCCCACGAACAGCAGCACACACAGCAGGAAGAGCGACGACACCGCCGCCAGCGCGATGACCAGGTAGACGGTGAGCGAGTCGGCCTGCGCCTGCGCCGGGGCGGCCTCGGGCAGCGCCAGGTAGGGCTGGGAGAAGCCGTCCACCAGCAGCACGTGCAGCGTGACGCTGGCCGACAGCGGCGGATCCCCATTGTGCCTCAGCCGCCGCCGCACACCGGGCGT